GCCTACGGGCCCGTCCCCTCGCCCCGCCCCCGCCCCGCCTCCCTTTCCGGACCCCCTCGGTCCCCAATCCCGGCTCCCCGCTCGATTCTCTCCCCGCCCGATTCTCTCCCCGCCCGCCGCAGCCCGCTGCCGTCCGGGCCTTCACTGCGGCCCCGCCGCCGCCACCATGTCCCTGCACGGCAAGCGGAAGGAGATCTACAAGTATGAAGCGCCCTGGACCGTCTACGCCATGAACTGGAGCGTGCGGCCCGACAAGCGCTTTCGCTTGGCGCTGGGCAGCTTCGTGGAGGAGTACAACAACAAGGTGGGCCGGGCAGGGGCTCGGAACCCCGCTGGCGGGGAGCGGGCCCCGGGAGCGCCCTTTTCGGGCTGGAGCCCAGACCCCGGGACCCTCCTGCGGACCTGCCGTAGCTCCACGGAGCGGTTCCTCTGTGTCTGGCCCTGTGCAGAGGGTTTCGCTCTCGTTCTTATTTAATCCTGGCAGCATTCTTGAGTAGTCAGGAGTGTAGTTTACCCCCATCTTTTGATGGGGAAACTGAGGCACCGTGTTGTGACTTGGCCGAGTCACACAGCTATTTCGTGACGGAAACAGGTTTCAAACGCGAGTTTACACCCAAAAGTTATGCCATTTATCACTCCTGACCCCCGCCTCCTGCTGCATTGCTTCAATTGGGGGGCGGAAGAGGGATGAGGGGGTGATGGCTGTGAAGAAAATGCTGGCGCCTCAGCTAAGGGTCGTTGACTCCTGGCCACGCCAGATTTCTATTAGGACTGTTTACTGCGCAGGCTTCCCCGCCCCCTACTCCCACCCCCAGGCACTATTCAAGGATTCCTCAGCCCTTCTGCCGGGATTGCCATTGCTATTGCAGCCTCATATTCAACCTCTTCCAAGCGATTTCTTTTTAGAAATCTTGGCGTATGGTCGTGATCCCGCCATTGTTTTGCGAATAGAAAAGGATGATACTTGCCAGATCTTTTCTTGGGCTCGAACCTTGAGTATTAAGTCTTTCTGGACATCCACAATTTGAGAATCCTTTATAGAAGCACGGATAGTAGGAGGAAGCTTTAAGCTGGCAGTGCAGCATAAACTTATTTTTGAAAGTTGTTGAGTAAGTCCGTCGGAAGCATTTTCTTTCCCTTGCTCCATAATCTCTTCCATTTATTGTATTGGAGTAAACGTTGTGACTGATAGTGATCAGAGCAACTGAGAGCCATGCTTAGTGGTGTTTAAAGCCTGTACAGCTACTTGACACCGTGAACGCTGTGACTTAAGAAGAATGAACTGTGTGGACACAGACATGGTGCAGGGAAGAAAGCCAGGTGCTCTCGGGTTGGGTCCTGTCTAGTTCACTGATTAGTTGTGGGGCATTGCACAGGTCAGTTTTATTATTTCTGACCCACTGTTTGTTGTAGGAAAGACGTTCTTTTTTACACATAAAGGTCTTGTAAATAAACATTTGGACATTGTAATTTTGTTTACAGTTTTCAGGAGCACATCTGTTTCTCTAGAGTTAGGTCTTAACTTTTTTTTTGGAATCCCCTTTGAGAAACTGATGAAAACGATGGTCTCTCATTGCCCAGGGATCACACATACACGATTTACAAACAAATCCCAGGGAGTATACATTGATCTTGCAGTCCATTGCCTACAGAAAGCAGAATAGTAACAAGACATAGCTTGAACCTCTTTCTTCCTTATGGCCTGTGGTAGATAGCAGAGTTGAGAATGGAAGTCGGGGTCCTGATTTGGAAGCTGGATTAATAAAATTGAGAGCACTAGTATAAGGATACATGTTACATGTATGTAGGCAATCTAGCGTCTTAAAACTATTTTAATGCCCCCACCTATCTAGGTCAGAGTTCTTAACTTTTGTTATTGGACTCCAGGTACTGTAATGCGCTAGTTTAAGCATATTTTCTCTTTTTCTACCTGGCTTAGAGGCAATAACTCTGGTATGTCTCCTGAGTTTTGACAATGTCTGTGGTCTTTAGACAAGTGGTACTTACCCTGTTTTATGGGGAAAGATGACTTCTGTTCCACTTAGTTGTATGTTTCGGGGTTGATTTTGAATAAAATTGGCTGAGTGAGTGGGATTTATTTTGCCCTGATATTTAACTAGCTGACCATTTGTATTTTATGATTTAGCATCTAGAAAACATTGTTGAGGTTCTGAGGAGAGAAACCGTAGGTATACCTGATGCTTTTTGAAGAATACTGGTAGTGAACTTAGATAAGACTGCCTTGTACTTGAAGTACACATGGGATAAATGCTTGCCTTGTCAGGCTGTGTTGATTTCTGTGAGATCTTTAATGCAGAGGTACTTTATCTATTTAGCACACAATGATTTTGGCTCTGGCATATAAATTGTCATTTCTCAGTATTTGTGGCAGTCTTCGAGGATTTTCATTCATTTGTTCATTAAGTCAACAAATATGTATTGAACCTACATGTGTCTTTTAGTCATAGTGATGATGCTTGGTATCCTTTGTTAGAAGCTGTAACATTGGCAGCAATCAAAAGAAAGTATTTTAGTACACGTAAGTATTTCTGTAGATATTTAGTATTTTGCAGTGCTCCATCAGTCCTCCCTGGCAAGACTGTCAGCAGAGGAATTTAAAGTCTAAAACTTCTGGTTTGAATGCTTCCTTCCTGTTTTCTAGACAGTGAGAGAACTAATTCCTCCATGGGAGCATTGGATAAAAGTTTTGCTGCTTTATTGCTTTTTTGCCCTAACCTAGTTTACACAGACTTACTGGAGATGCTGTGATTTGAACAAGGAATGAATCTGTGTTCAATAGATAGTCTGGTCTGCCTGGGGCTGTGATGTCAGAGATGATTGTTTAGCCTCTGAGCCAGCAGCCCGGGGCGCCGGGGACAGGGGTGGGTGGGGGGGTGTTGGGTGCTATGCCAGAACTCACCTCAAAGTCTGACAAGGCAGAACCTCTCTGCAGACATTGATCAACAATAGTCAGTCAGGAACAGGCTTAAAGGGAAGACAAGTGGAATAGACCAAGAAAAGCTGGGTTATTCTGACAGAATTTTGCCTTGGCTGATTTTGGTTTTATTAACAATTGTGGGAAAATGTTTATCTGACAAGAGTGGTATATTGATTTAGATAACTTGAGGGCTTTTTTAAAAATCACATATATACACACACACATGTATACATTTGCATTCACCTTCATGTTCTGGTGCTAGCACTGTATGTAATTAAAGTGGAATACAGTTTCCTCCCTCAAGGAGCATAGTAACAAAATAGACATGGCAGCTTTAATTTTTTTTTAATATAAGGTATGAGTAATGCGAATAGTAATTTATGTTGTTATTCATGAAAGTAATTGAAAGTCAAGATGTGGTCATGCCTCCAAGGAGTAGATATTTTATATATCATATCTACTCCTTGGGAGACATCTGATAGTGATAGCCACAGTTTAAAAATAAGTAAAAGTGATCTTGCTTCACAGTCTTTTCTTTGTAGGGGCATTTGTTTCACATGTTGGGATAAAGTGTTGTGAAGCAATAGTTGCAGGAAGGCAGTGGAGGTGGGAGATAGAGGAAGTTTAGCAGGAGGATGGGGAAGACTATGGAGGAAAAGGCAGAGGAGTAACCTAATGTTGACAAAAAGATGAGTAAAGTCATACTTTTTCCTTATGCTCCCACAGTAAGTGAGGAAGGATGGCAATATAATGAAAATCAAATGGGTATAGGAAAATGCTGCGAAAGAATATCTGTGACTGCAGATTCAAATCAGAAGAGCACAGTTCTCCAGAGTAGGATTTTGATGGGCAAAATCAACAATCCTTTATCTGGGACAGCAGGAGCTTCTCCAGACCTCATTTGACACCTTGGGTGAGAGGGGGGCTACACTGTACAAGGAGACACACACATGTGCCATCATCTCTGTAAGCATTAGATGAGGCAGGTTAGAAGAGAGATTGAATTGTGAGCAGCTTGACAGCACCTCATCTCTGTAGACTGGGGAGACGTAAAAGCTTCATGTGTTTATACTAACTTGGAACACAGTCCTGGCTTTTCTTCCTTGGGAATGTGCTTCAGATCATCTAGAAAGAACTTGCCTCATTCAAAAGGAACCAGTACAGTAGCAGTAGAGAGATACTATAAGAAAGGAGGGGAGGAAATGGGAAACAAGTGGAAAGTAAAGTATCCACACTAGAAAAATGTTTTCACCTTAGTTGAAAATTAATGGCCCGTCCTGTCACCATAGACTCAAAGAGCTTAAGAAAATAAAGAACTCCAAGCAGAGATATAGGAGATCAGGTAAAATAAGGCATGGTGACAGGAACAGATAGAGCCCAGAAAAATAGTGGAAGAGAAAACAAAAATTATCACAGGAGTAAAAGCCACATTGGAAAGAGAATAAAAATGAATACAAACAGCTGAAAACAGTGAAGGATAGGGAAGACAGATTGAGAAAATGAAATGGATATAAAAATGTAATTGATGCAGAAAATAAAGAAGATCTGACTTAGGTATAATTGGTGTCTCTGAAGAAAATCAAAGAAGTGAAACACAAAAACTCAAATATGTAGTTAAAGAAGACTTTATAGAACAAATGTTTGAAGTGATGGGTCCCGTGAGTCCCGAACTATGTCTCAAGAAAAATGGACACAGAACAATTGGCACTGAAAACTTTCCTAGGAAAGTTTCTACATTTTAAGAGTGAAGAAAGAATCTTTTGGACATCCAGGCAAAATGATCGCATCCTCTTGAAGAGAGGAGGGAGAAATCTAGCCACATTTGATGACAAAGTATGGAGCAGTGTCTACAGATCTGCAGCTATTATAGGTTGTACTGCTGTAAATACCTGAGAATATACCTAAGAATGTATAAGATTTCCATTGGGAAAATAAATCACTTTTTTAAAAAGATAATTTATAAAAATTGTGTATTAAGGGGAAAAATACTTTTAAGTTAAGGGAAATCAACTGATTGATAAAAATAATGTGTATCAGAACATACAGGAAAATGAGGATACTAAAGCTCAAGACATACTAAGTAACTCCCCAGAGTGACACAGAAGGTAAGAGCAGGGCGAGAACTAGGATGCTGTCTGTCTCCAGAGTCTTAAAAATAAATATATACCGATGTAAAAAAAAAAACCCCAAAACAACAACAGTTGAGGGGTGGGGGAGAGAGAATGTTTTGAAAAACGGGAACACTTACCATACCAGATCAGAATAAACATACTGGAATTGGTGTAGTTATAGCAAATGCCACATATAGTTGATTGAACCACATAGAATGTTCCAAGGTATTTCTATGTGTATGTACACATACATAC